GGGTAGCAGAGCGTACGGGCGGGGGGCACCGCGCGCCGCGGTGGGTGAGGACGTGCGGGGGGGGGGGGGGGGAATACACGCGTTACAGCATATTCTTGTACTCCATACAGCGGATCCCTTTTGAGAAAGTGATGGTCGACCAGCTGGTTACGAACGTTCCATCTTTTTGTGGAACCCGAAGGTTCATTACTGTGTTCAAAACAAATCACCGCTGATCTATATTCCGGGCAGGACGATTTCAGTCCACACCCTCCAGACTTATTTACGAGTACTTAAGATCCACTTAAGTATTAAGAAAACAAAGGCCTAGCCTAACATTAATACTGTTAGAACTATGGAACAAAATATGAGTGGGTGAACCATGCCACATGTGCCAACACTTGAACGAATTAAATAAACAAATGATCCTAGTCAGAAGAAAGTACTTGTTGGATATACATGTGGGGAAATGTCGCAAGACAAACCTATACTATTCTCATAAATAACAGTGGTTATTTTTATGCTATGCGCAGAAGCAAACAGTTGTCTCTTTCTCTCAGTAAAGGTCTTTGCCTGCTTCTGTGAGCCTACTCTACTCCCTACAAGTTTTGTTTGGAAATTTGAAGGGCTTGATACAAGAACCGGTCATATGTCAAATTGTCGAAAATGTGTTAAGAGCATTTTCATGTTCAAACATATTCGCTGCGCTGCTCTGTGAAAGAATGAACTGCGTGAGGGCCAGTACAGGTTGATGACTTCATACTGTGATTTTCCTTTTAGCAAATTCAAGCATTGTTTTTAATCGGTTTCTCTCTCTTCTGCAAAACTGCGATTTCTTGCAGCAACCCCTTCAATTATTTAGTCTGTTAGATGTATTCTGATAGATACATTTAAAGGTGTAAGAGCATTCCGTAACACAGATATACCCTTCAAACCAAACACTCACAGGTTTTACAAATGACAGCAGATGTCTAGAAGAGCATATGTTAAACCAGAGCGAAGTTATGTGCGCCGATCACAGTAGCCCAGCGGTCTAGGGCATGAACTGTCTTCTACAGCTTAACTACTGGGATCGTGGGTTCGAATCCCACTTAAGGCATGGATGTCTGTGTGCGTTTATTCTGTTTGTGCTGTCCTGCGTGCAGGTAGTGGCCTTGTGAAGGGAGGATCCGCTGTCCAACGAGTCCTACCGACTGTGTAAAAGATCAAGAAATTGAAAAAGCGGCCAAGGTCCAACATAGAGAGAAACAGAGAGAGAGAGAGAGAAGTAATGTGCAGTCAGACGGTCAGATATAGGCCTACTGCACTTGTGGTCTCAGGCGAAAATTAAGACTCGGCCTGCATTTCCAGTCACGCTAACGCGCCCAAATATTACCTTCCACTATCACAATGTAAATACAAAGGAGACACGGGTCAAATCTAAGAATAACTACTGAGCACTTTCACATGCATTTGGTTCAAAGTTTTTAAGAAAACTGTATTCCACAACCTTTGGAGAACAATCTCAACCATCCTCCTGTACTGTCTGCCATATCTCCAATAACCAATACTACAGCTGCTTGTTTTCTGTCATTGGTTATGATACGAGTGACAAGAGCGTGGGGGTGCTCAAGAACCGCAATGGGGACTTAAAAAGAAGCCAATAGTAGCATCATGGTAGAGCCCACTTGGTAGCCCGATTTTACCCGTTTTGACTCTCTTTCCTCTCCGGGAAAGAAGAGCAGGAAAGGAGAGATAAGAATTGTACACTTAGGCCTAATTTCAACATGGAACCTAGTGTCAAATATATGAAATTGGCGCCCAAATAAACCGATTGTTCTCTGCTACCTATTAGCAAAATAATCTGTAATGGGTTCATCATGTTTCACTGCACGGGTCCGGGATAAATGAATCAAGAATATTAGTAACTAGGGGCTGTTCGATTTTCCTACCATTCAGTCCAGAGCCTTTTGTCTTCTCGTCTGCTTTCTAAAAACATACAAATTAGAATATACAAAACTATAATTTTGCCTGTGGCTCTGAATGAGTGTGAAACTTGCTCTCTGACATTAAGGGAGGAACATAGACTGAGGGTGTTTGAGAACAGGGTGTTGAGAATATCTGGACCGAAAAGAGATGAAATGACCGGAGTTTGGAAGAAACTGCATAATGAGGAACTTCATAACTTGTACTCTTCTCCAAGTATAATTAAAATGATGAAGTCAAAGAGGATGAGATGGCCATGGCATGTACCTCGTACGAGTAGCACGAATGGGGGAGACGAGAAATGCATATAGGATATTGGTGGAAGAGCCAGAAGGAAGGAGACCACTGGGAAGATCAAGGCGAAGGTGGGTGGACAATATTAAAATGGATCTCAGAGAGATAGGATGGGATGGAATGGAATAGACTGGACTGATCTGGCTCAGGATATGGACCGCTGGAGGGCTCTTGTGAACATGGTAATGAACTTTCGGGTTCCATAAAATGCTGGTTCCTGGAACCGTTTCCTTAAGACTCTTCTGCCTTCGAACACCACAAAATATACAACCACAATTTTAAAAGGGATTCTAAACAGAACGCGACGTTGGTACGGTCTCGGTTAGTTACTGATACTAAAACAGGAGTATTTTTTTAATTGCTAGTGGGGTGGGACTAAGTCCCTTGTACTGGGGCCACTTCTGGCCTGTTGTACCAGCCCCAGATGATAGGCGAGGGTGATTGTGGAGCAAATGGTGGAAAGAAGATTGGCAGGGGAAACTGAAGTACTCGGAGAAAACCTTCCCCAGCACCACTTTGTCCAACACAAATCCCACTTGACCAGACCCGGGATCGAATCCGGGCCGCCGAGGTGGGAAGCCAGCGACTAAACGCTTGAGCTATGGCGCGACCCAAAACAGGAGTAAACAAAAGGCTGAATTTTGCACCTCCTGTAACTGACTCTGGCGTGCTCGTAATTAAACACTGATTCTTTTATTATTGCTGTTGTTGCAACACGGCTGTTTCTCCCCTCCGCCTCACGTATACGTGAAACTGCTACGTCGATCCTGGACAAACGATGCGCCTAATACTGCAGAACAATTATCGTAACTAAATTCGTTAACGCATCTCCTCTGAGCTGAAGTGGAGAGCGTTTCGAACAGTTCTCCTTCCTGGTGTGTAGAGCTATACAGCATTCCGTATGCCCATGAACAACTTCCGATTTTGTTACAGTAATTCAAAATTCCTTCCGGCAGGAACTACTGGAATCCCTCGCGGAGCATAATTTTGAAATTAATGGGCAGGATTCAACTGAGACGAGAAATTCATGGCTTTCCACGAAGTATAACAGACCTGTCACAAACTGCGAATGACTGCCTAACAAGAAAGGTCATGAAATGTAATACAAGACCGTCGGATCGGTTTTATAAAAGATGTCTCGACAAAACAACTCTATCCTCTAGCTCCATTCCTCATTCTCCCCATTCCTTTACTTTACCCACTGTATAATGGTACTTGTATCTCTGAGTTCTATCTCTCGTTCCTTGTTCGCTTCCTTCGTCTGTTACCGGGCTCTAGCTAAGCCACAGCTGTAGTTTAACATCACTGTCAGCAACGCAAGACTATACAGCATCGAAAGATTTGATGACAGTGTGTAATGACTTGGAATGGATTTGGAAGGGAGGGGTTGTGGCCTACCTCAGGGTATTATCTCGACATCTGTTTGGAGAGACTGAGAAAAATAACGAAAACTCGTTATATGCTGTGTACAAGCTGAGAATCGAACCTGGCACCACCAGAATACATGTCAGATGAGTTGCAGCTTTGGGATTCTAGAAGTGTAGCGAAGTAAGAGAGGTGATGAACTGCAAAACAGTGACGAATGGAATGAAAAATATTCCAGCTCCAGAAAGTTGCACTTTCAGAAATGTTTAAGTGTCCGAAGAATATTAAGAAGATAAAACGAGGGCCTGACCTAGGGTCGAATCCGGGCTGCCGCGGTTGAACGCCGGCGACTAACCGCCTGAGCTATACACGATCGTAAACATCATTAACCAGTGATGTAGGCCTAATAGAAATGCGCTTTGTTTTTATTCGGCCAAGAATCTAATTTTAAATACATTCACACTTTGACGAAAGAAGTAAAATGGATTCAAACCTCCGGTTCCGAGTCCAGCGTTGGTGATGCTGACCCAAAAATCGATGGTCTTCTCAGGGCCAAGCTCCTCATAGTCCCACTTCTTTTTGACGCGCACGGCCCCGTTTGGTTCAACAGTAACCCAAGGGTTCTCGTCTCGAATCTTGAAGGTCTCTCGTTCCGTCTCCTTCTCCAGCTGGAACACGACGCGTCCTTCCGTCTCGCCGTCCGCCTCAGTGAACTCAATCTTCTTGGTCGGTCTCACCGCACGAGTAACACGACGCTTTGAGATCCGATGTGCCTGCGGAGGGTCCCTATCCATGTGCTGCAGGTGATCGTCGTCCTGAACCAGCGAGTTGAACTGCAGCCATACCTGAGCGGGCACCTCAGAGGTGCGGCTAGGCGTTCTCAAGTCGTGAGCCTCTACGGTAATTTCATATTCAACATCTTCACCCAGAGCATTTGGTGGTTCTCCGGCCATAAGCAAGTCACCTGTCTGGGGAACTATCACCACTAAGTTACTTGGTACGGCAAGACGGTATGCAACCCGATCTCCATCCGCATCTGTGGCTGAAACCGTCCCAACCGCTGCGAATCGCTTCCAGACATTACTCGCTGTGACATTGTCTTCTATGCTATTTTTAGCTTCCCCCAGAGTGAAACGATAAACATGCTTAGAGAACACCGGACTGTTGTCATTTTCGTCTATCACTGTCACTTTGACTTTGGTGAAAGCTTTATCGATTCCACGCCCATCTGATGCCTGCACTGTCAGGGTATAGGAAGGAGTAGTTTCCCTGTCCAAAGGCCGAGCCGTAATGAGATGAACTCCATTCAGGCCCGTCTTGGCAGTAATGCCCAGTGTTTCATTGTCTCCGTCGTCATTCTCCTGCAACGCAAAGGCGTCATCCTCGTTACCGGCCACAATAGCGTACCTAACTGGGAGACCCCCAACACCGCCCCCGGTGACGTCAAGACGAGGGATGCCCTCAACTCTGGTACCAGCAGCGGAGTTCTCGGACACTTCTCCGTCTTCGTAGAGTTCTTTGTGAAAACTGAGCATGTCCCGTCGGTCCAGCACGTATAGCTGCAGGGTGTGCGTGGCTGTGCTGTTCGGTGTTTCTTCCAGAACAACCAAGTTAACTGGTCGGTTCACCAGTGGGCTCAAGTCAGATGTGGTCATCACTAAGCCGTCCTCTAACACAGTGAAGAACTCTGAGAAGCCAGTCTCCAACAGACGATAGTTCATCAATTGTTGGCCGCCCTCGAACTTCTTTATGCTGTACCCAGGATATATGTCGTGTGGTATGACGGCGATGCTCCGTCTGATGGCAAGACCCCCTGCAGACACATCTCCAGGGTTCAGGAGGGTCACCACCACTACAAGGAGGGCTAAAGCCAGGCCCTCCATGTTCTGCAGTCTCTACACTGACCTGTCCTCTAAACGTGCGATGGGAAGGGGTTGACCCGACCCCACAATCTCACACACTGCACCACCACCGGCGCCTCAACACATGGATCTGGCTTCTATCTGCAAGGAAAAATAAGAGGCGCATGTAAAACACTGGCTTCAAATGTTAATAGAGTTCAGGGGAAAACAATATCTCTGTGGAAATTTAGAATTATGTCTGGCTCTACAGAGAAAGAGACTGGCCTATTGTCATAACTACATCTCGTTCCTAACTTTGAAATATTACCAATGAAAATTCGAATGACTTTTCTAAAGGTTTATGTCAAATGTTGATCTGTTAGGCCTGTAAAATTATATGGTGGATACTGCCCACCTTTGAGATTATAGGCTGATATCCTATTTAAAAGGTCAAAAACCTCAAATGTCAATCAGACCTCCAGAAAATAAAAGGGTATAGATCTACATTACGGGCACTTAACTTCTTCGCGGCTACTTCCAATACGAAATACAATCCTGTTAACCTAGCAAATTCAATGTGGCTTGTCCATTATACAAACGTGAGATATATCAATCTCATTATCTCTCAGCCATCTGATATTAAAGTCTCAAAGTAGACCTTAAAGAATTTTTTCAAAGATGCTCTTCACAGAACTCGTGGCAAAGAGTATGGGAAAGTCTCTCGCTTACATCATAAGTAGACTTCAGGCATTAAACAATATAATCCACTCAAAACGGCATTGTTAGCAACAATGGCACTTAGACCCCTTCTTGCGCAGTACCATAGTTTCCCAATGGAGTTTCCGCCTACTCCTGCCTTCCTACAAGAGGAGCGCTGAGAGGGGACGTCGGTTGCCAGGCAACGTGAAGGAGAACAGTACGTAACTATCCCCGCCCACAAACCGACCTACAATCCATCTACCACTCTTAAATAAAAACGTGATGTTTCTTGCAGGAATTAGCATCGCAGTAGGGCCACAAGAAAATCAGGGCAAAATCGCCATATTACGGAATTCCGGGTTCGTATCCTCTAGCCGCTGGCACTGTGAGCTTACATAGTGGCTCTCTTCATTCCACTGAATAACGCCTACTTTATTCCAGCTCCTTCCCTCTTCTATTCTATTCACCCCTTTCTCTTTCTTCTTCTCTTTCCTCGTTCCTCTTATCATTTCCCTTATTCTTCCCTTTCTTCTTCTTCTTCTTGTGTATTCTCTCCTCTCGTTCCTCTTATTCCCTTTTCCTTCGTCCACGCTTTCGTTTCCCTTTTCCTGATTTGTCCTTTCCTTAACAGTTCTTCTTCCTTTTCTTCTATTCTTGTTCTTCCTTCTGTTTTCTTAAACGACGATTTCAATAACGGTCGATTCATATCATCTGAAACCATTACACAAAACTATCTTCGCTTTGTCTCTGAGGAGATGCCTGTCACGTGTCTATGTGCATCCTTCCAGCATGCTGCCTGTCAGGAACAATCGAGCAGAAGGAAATGCAACTGCAGTAGTCTATTTATAGGACCGTATCCTGAATATCTCGACCAGATCGCCTACAGGCCTCATCCAGTCGTATTCCCTGAGCGGATAAAAGAAATTCTTTACTTTGACGAAACTATCACGCCACTGAACCCTACCCTGGACCAGTTCAATATTGCCAGCCTTTCTCTAACATTAGTTTCCTATAATTTTCTCCATGATCTGTCCCTTGAGATTTCCCGGTCATTTTCTTTTTAGCCCAGTTTCCGTATTTTGAAATAATAAAGGGAGGCTTATGAAATCACTTTCCTGTCTGCGTGTCTGTGTATCCCCCTTAATTTTAAGGCCCCTTTTAGCCTACTTTCCTTATTTCGTAAAAATAAAAGGAGGCTTATGACATCACCTTGCTATCTGTGTGTCTATCCGTCTAACCCCCTAATTTGGTGGTCTTGTCCGATCACCTTGCCCTCTGTATGTCTGTGCATCCCCTTTCTTTTCGTTTTCTATGCGGTCCGTATCGTATAAAAGAAAAGTAGGAGATTAGTTCTTCCCAAAACGTCTTGCATTTTTCAAAATCAAGAACGTAGGCTTATGATATTGCTGTGTCTGTGTTTCTTTGCATCACCCTAATTTAAAAAAGGAGGCTTATGAGATAACCTTGCTGCCTGTGTGTCTGTGTATCCCTTCGAATATTTTCGTTTTATTGGCGATCCATGTAGTATGAGGGTTGGAACTTTAATAGTGGCAACTATTTATTTACAACTGATACAAAATATGTGCATGTTTAGAAAGTTTTACTGTCCTTCAGTGTAGTCGACAGCATTGCGTACAACCCGTTGCCAGCGATGTGGAAGTCGTAGGATACCTTTAGCAGCGCCTGTTGTGTTGATAGTTCGAATGGAGCGGTCTCCTGCCTGAAGAATCTCTGGAACACTTCTGAAGCGAATGCCACGAAGCGGTTCCTTCATCTTAGGAATCAAGTCGAAGTCACAAGGGCTTAAGTCCGGGGAGTATGGTGGATGGTACAGCACTTCCCAGCCCCATCGATCGAACAAATCAACCACAGATTGCGCTACATGCGGCCGAGCTTTATCCTGCAAAATGATGGGTAGGTTCTGCAGAAAGTGTCGCCGCTTCTTTCTCAAAGCTTGTCGCAGGTTGTGTTCCAAAAATGAACAGTAATACTGCGCATTGACGGTCTGCTGTTGGGGAACGGTACGCGTTAGGATAACGCCATCACAGTCGCACCACAGCTTTCACATTGCTTGGGTTCTGACGAACTTTTGATTTTCGTGGTGACCCGTAATGACGCCATTCGTTCGATTGGCGTTTCATTTGTGGCTCGTACGATTTGGCCCATGTCTCATCCAGCGTAATGATACGGCGTAAGAAAGGCTCTGCTTCGCGCTCATAGAGCTCCAAGTGGTTACGAGCAGCGTCGTATCGTAGCCATTTCTGCATTTCCGTCAAATCATGCGGATCCCATCGTGATGCACTTTTTCTCATGCCCAGGCGTTCCTTCAGAATGTGAAGCACAGTCGTATGCGCTAATCCTGTCTCTCGGGCCAGCTCACGAATCGTATGGCATCGATCACTCTCCAGTAACGCGGAAAGAGCATACACTTCTTCACTAACACTAGGACACTAGGACGACCTGGCCGACGCATGTCTGCCACATTTTGTTGACCCTCGTTGAAGGCTTTTACCCACCTTGCCACCGTTCTGTAAGGCAATGCAGATTGCCCGCAAGCCTCTTGAAGACCTTGATGACACTGTCGTGCTGTATGGCCTCTGGAACATTCAATCTTTATCCAACTCCGTTGTTCCTGTATCGAAAACATCGTGACAACACTACTTTAGACCACCAGCTAACAAGCGGCTGTGTTCTTCTCGTCACTGCGCATGCGCGTGATGTGGGAAGGGAGCGTCCATTTGCTCTGAGGTAAGGTAGGTATGTAATTAACGTGTGGTATAAGAGACATTATTTGGTTACGTTGCATGGCGTCTCTACAGCAGTGTTGCCACTATTAAAGTTCCAACGCCAGTATAAAGGGAAGTATGTGACTAGTTCTTGCAGAACTTGTTTATCTTTTGTTTCAGGCGCGGGACAGGTAGGCTATTACTGCCGAAAAGCAAACGCAACTATATAAGCTCTGTAGCCTTCAGCCTTTGAAAAATATGTTAAATGTTTCATAACCTGGGATCTAAAGAGATAGGAACTGGAGAGCTTTTGGAGGCTGTCGTCACAGAAACGGTTATTACGTTGTACACCAGACTCGGTAATCATCGAATTAATTCAATAGGGAAATAATATCACTAGTCAGGAGAATTTCAGTTGCATTCAGGAAACAAATACAAATAACGCAGCCAGCACAGACTTCAATTTGAGTTTTCGAGTTAGCAAATTTTCTTTCAAGTCAGACCAAGAATAAGTCGGGATATCGGGCGCAGTCTTCGTGAGGAAGAATGCAGATATTAAAACGAATTATGTATGCATCGAGTAATCGATTAACGAAACTGATAAACTCCTTGGCTTTTAGTCCTCGAGTGAACTATATCGACCTAGAGACAGCTGCTTGTCGGCGAAGTTGGTGCCAACTTTTGTGGATAGAGGGTGTAGCGTGGTCAACGGAACGGATTCCCACGGCAGTCAATGTTTTCTAGACCGGAGCCGCTACTTTTCCATTCAAGTAGGTCCTCACTTATCCTCACGAGGCTGAGTGGACCCCGTTCCAGATCCACTACTTCTAAAAATATCTGGTAGCGCCGGGAATCGAATCCGGAACCTCTGGATCTGTAGCCAGGAACTCTGACCACTAGACCACAGAGGCAGTCCGAGAGAAACGGTTACTGATTATTAAATTGTAATCGTTCAGGGCACTACCGCACTACACTACGAACCAGAATGTTTATGCACGTTACAAATATGATAAATGATGGAAAATCCTTTTTAAATAGTGGCCTATCAAATGGATCTGTAACAACAAATTACTTAAGGAAACTACCGTACTATCAATTACACATACTTTGAATCAACCGAATACTAAAATTCGTTGGCTCCGGGACTGTTTCCTACTTGTCAGAGTTTCAGTTGTTTACAACCCTCGGTCCCCTGGCAACGCAACAAACCTGAGCAGGTGTTTTCCTATACTCTACAGCGAACTACTAAGTCATTCGATTGTACAGGTATTCCTACTCCCTTTCCGCACTTCCTGGTGCTGTGGTCATCAGGCGCGTATTAACGCGCAAGAACGCCACACCGGCCAAGGGCAGTCATTAGTTGACTATAACATGTGAATTCTGAAAGCAGGATGTATGTGAACTACGTGCAGATTTCTGTGTGTGGGCGGGAACAGATTACATTGCTAGGCTGCTGTTGGTGCACTGTCACTGATAAGCATATCCCTTCTCATGCTTATAGCCAATCCGAGACCAGCAGGCCCAATAACCCCCCCCCCCCCAACCAAAACGGGTTTAAAGTTGATACAGCCGGATGGTACGGAGTCAATAACTCCGATGTGGATATTTCCCGACTGGAAACCTGTCCACTGATTATGGCATCTTTCAGGAAGTATGAACTCATAACCATACGTCATTGTAATCGAAACAGCTGAGCAGCTGTTCGCTGCAGCAGGCATAACCTATGTATGGTTCTAT